AGCACAGGTTCATGGCTTCGGTTCACGGCTTCGTCTGGAGAAGCCGGTGCCTGGACTGCGCCTCCCTCCTTTTCAGGTCGTTTAGCGAGGGAACCTCATCATGGCTGCAGAGTGTGGCTCCCGGCAGCCGCATGGAGGTCGAGGCCTCGGGAGGAAGGGACGAGAGGGAGACGTGGACGGTTGGAGAGGAGCGGTCTCGTTTGGGAAGGACTTACGGACGGGCAGGCGCTCCCGAGGGGAGCTTAGCGTCTTGTCCTCGGGCGGCTCTGGGTCTGGCTGCAGGCGGGGCCAGGCCTGGGTGGCTGAGCTGCGATGGGTGGAGGAATCGGACAGCACAGGTGGCCTGAGCAAAAGGAGCCCCACACACCGAGGTCACTGAGGCAGGCGGACCAGGGTGGGAGCAGGTCTGAGGTCCGTTCCAGAGCCGCGGGCTGCAAGTCGACTCTGTGGCGCCCGGAGGCAGCTCGGTGCAGAGGCTGCCACGTGCCCACCTGCTGGGTCCGGAGCAGAAGCCGTGGAGGGAGGGTCCGCTGAGCCTGGCTCGGTGGCTGGCACACGTGGTGGAGGCTGCATTGGTTTTTTCTTGGTATGAAGCCAGGCCCCTAAATGCTCGGCCCCCCGAGTCTTCCGGTTCCATCTGGCATTGATGCTGGAGTGGGCCCTGGAGCATCCCGCCCGCTGGTCCCCAGGCCTGGCTGCCCATTAGAATCATGGAGGAGCTTGAAAAACCAGGTTTCTCGCCCGGCCGCTGTGGCTCAGTGGTTGAGCGTCGACTTATGAACCAAGAGGTCGCCGGTTTGCTTCCCAGTCAGGGCACATGCCTGGGTTGCGGGCTGGATCCCCAGCGGGGGGGCGTGTAGGAGGCAGCCGATCAGTGATTCTCTGTCATCATTGATGCTTCTCTCTCTCTCTTCCTTTACCTTGTTCTCTGAAATCATACAAACATATTTCAAAAAATTTTAAATGGTTACTTTTATGTGATGTGAATTTCACCTCAATAACGACGGTCAACAATTGATAAAATGCAGAATAAAAACCACAGTCCCGTGTCTGACACCTCAGGCCTCCCCTCGTTCCATCGGCAACAAGTTAGAATGCCTTAACCTTCTCCTCCGGTCTCGAGCTCTGTGTTTCCAGATGATGTGAGTCTCCTGATGTCTGTGGATTAATCTACTTTAAATATCACCCGCTGCCTTCCTGTTCCTGTAGGTGAGCTGGGCTTTCGGGCACGCTCCTGCCCCCCCCCCTCCCATTAGCGTTGCCTCACTTTTCTCCTTGGCTGGAGTAACATTCCACCCGCTGCCGCAGACTCTCCTGACTATGTAAACAGCGTGCCCAGCGAGCTGAAGACACACCAGCTTTTAATATGCAGCTTTCCCCTGGCTTCGTGATGCTCTATTTTTCCTTGTTTGCTTAGCTCTTCCGTAGCATTTGCTGAGCCGTCCTTCCCTCTGCAAGTTTCCGTGTGGGGCGGACAGGGCGATCTCCCACTCTCCTCCCCGCCGGCCGTCCTCGGGCCCTGGAGCCCTGTCCCTGCTCCGCGTGGGCAGGGCCGTGCCTTGCACAGTGACACCCGGTTCCTGGGCCTGTCCCGGCTCCGCAGGGCCCGCCAGCTCGCTTCCCCTGGTGCAGACTCGTGGGTTCGCTCCCCTCCACCCTCCACCCTCTTCCCATCTTCATGTTTGTCAGCTTGGGACGATGGAGTTGAGTTCCATAGAAGATGGCGTTGGGGTTTTGGTTTTTAATTTTCTTTGTGTTGTTTGGGGAGGGGAGGGGGGCAAGAAGGAAGAGGAAAGCTTTCGCCTTCATCCTGCCCAACGAAAACTTTGAATCGAGTTCAAGCTTCTGTCAGCCTCCGAGAGCGTGGTCCCTGGGTTTGGACAGAGCTCCCGGTGGCAGATGGGAGCGGCACTGGATTTGTGATGCTGACTTCCTCCGCTCTCCCCCCCAGCAGCCTCCTTCCTCTCCCGTCTCCCCCTCACCTCCTGAAATAACTGGCTGCTCTGTGGTTGCAGCCCACTCGTCGGTGGACGGCCTACTCAGCACTTCAGCTGGGATGTTTCATGGGCGTCGAGACGACGCATCGCTAAAGTGAAATTCTCCCTTTTCCCTCCTGCCCCCCGTCGGCCCTCCCGCCTTCCCTTCGGTAGCAGCACCACCAGCAAATAGAAAGCTCCCCACGGAACCTGAGCCGCAGGGTTCTGTGCTGAACGCCCGCCCGTGGGCAGCTCCTGATGGCTGAGACTGCTCACCTTGCAGGAGGCGAGCCCCTCTGCTCCAGCCACCGGGCCCCAGCACTGGCTTTGCCCAGGACCCTCCGCTCCATCTCCAGGCTTTTGTCCAGGTGTTTGTCCAGGCCCCTCCCACCACTCCTCCTCCTCCTCCTCCTCCTCCTCCTCCAGCTCCTCTTTCCTGATGTAGAACCACCCAGTCACTCCTGGAGCCTCAGGGATGATTCATTCAACCAGGTTTACCAGTGTCTCCACCCTCAGGGTCCTTACACTCTCCACGGATGCGGAGTTCCACTTTCCAGGGATGCTGAGGCCGGTGTGGTCTTCCAGCTGTTCTTCCAGCAGCCTTTGTGCATGAATGGGGCCACTGTGGAGGGCTCCAAGCACCCCTGTGGCTCTGCCCACCCCTGTGGTTCCACCCACCTGTGGGGCTCCACCCACTCCTATGGCCCCACCCCCATGGTTCCTCCCACCCAGTGACTCCACCCACTCACATGGCCCCACCCATTCATGTGGCTCCATCCACTCATGTGGCTCCTCCCACCTAGTGGCTCCACCCACTCCTGTGGCTCTACCCACCTCTGAAGCTCCTCTCACCCCCCTGGTTCTCTGACCTGCACACCAAGGTGCTCATTTCTTAGTTAAACGCATCTACTAAGCAGCGGGTGTTCTCCCTCCTCCACGTTCTGGATGCTGCTTAAACCACGGAGCATCACTGCCCCCAGCCCTTCCACAGCTGACCCCCACCCTGCTTGGCTGGCTTCTCCTGTGCGGGCCCAGCCTGGCTCTGCTACAGCTTAGGAATGTGCCAAAGTGATTTTTTGAAACCTTAATCTAGTTTATTCTTCAGGGGCCTAAAATAACACTTGTCATAAGCTGTTCTTTGTGGCATTTCTTTGGAGTGAGATCAGACCACAGTGTGTGTGTGTGCACATATGTACTCACACACACACACACACACACACACACACAGGTAGCCGGCCTGGTCTTCTGCCGAGTCCCTGTGTGTGAGTGTTCCGGTGCCGAGCGCACATGGGGACCCGGCGGAACTTTCAGTGCGCCCTGCCCTGCCATCCCAGGAGCAGAGGGCCACGCCGAGCGGCTGAATTGCAGAATTCCGGAAGGTGACTCTCCCATCACATTTGAATTGCTTAATTTAATTTTCACTTCCAATCAGTTGCTAAGCAACTGGGAAGACAGGACGAAATCAGCAAGGCTAATGCGGTTCTGGCGCGAGTTCGGTCACATCTCGTATTTACGGAGACGGTTGGTTGTAAATACGCTTCGTCCGCTGGGACGCTCTGTGTCGCCCGAGGAGCGCAGTTGGCGTGGGAGTGACAGCAAGGCTGTGGCTGGGCCGACGGCGCTGAAATTCGCACTCTGGCCTCCGGTGACCCTCCCATCATCCGGAGTGTTGAGCCGTGTTGGGCCGTGTTGTGTGTTCGGTGGGTGCCGGACCCGGCCCTACCGCAGCCGTCGCAGAATGGAACTCCCGTGGCCTGTGAGTCCCCTGGCATCCTGGATCCGGCCTGATGGTTCCCAAGATCCATCTGAACCAGTTTGGCTTTGAATGTGAGCACGGGCTGTCAGCGTGGGAAGCGTGTGGACAGAAAGCATAGGCCGTTCCACTCTCCGTGCCTTGTTGGTCAGATTTGGAATTGTTATTCCACTTGGCCCATAAAGGAAGCCCTGTGTCAGATACGAACACTGGTGACTTAAATGTTCTTTTTCTTTACATGGGCTTATGCCTCTAAAAATTGACAGATATACTCGTAAACTATGTGTGTTTATATTTGAAAGCTGTATACACATTACTGGATAGGTAGCGTTATCAGTAATAATAAAAGCATAATATGCTAATTAGACCAGATGACCTTCCGGACAACCTTCCAGACGAAGCTGGGGCTGCAGCCGTGGGATCCAGGCAGCCGTCGCGGCAGCGAAGGCCTGCTCTTGCACGGATTTCGTGCATCGGGCCTCCAGTTTACGAATACAGTACATACATTATAACGACAAGCAGGAAAGGGGACGTTGGTGGAAACACCGAGGTTGGACAGCGGCGTCGTGTCCTGTGATGGCGATTGCCACGCTCTCATTGGTGCCTCAGCACGCGGTGCTTTAGGTCGGGGTCGTCATTAGAGACAATATTCCCAGTGTTTTGTTTATTGTTTCTAATATGCGGGTGGCTCTGCAGCCACCAGTCCGCTGTGCTAGCGTTGCTTCTCTGTAGGGCCGTGTGTAGGGTCACAGGTGCCCAGGGGATCCCAGCCGGGAGGGCGCCACGGTGCGGAGGCCGAGGGACAAGGACACGACGGTCCCAGATCAAGCGCAGATAGTTTCTCTCTGCTCCCCGAGAATCATCTCGTACACACCCTGTAAGAGGCCTCCGCACCAGCGGGTCCCTCCGTGCAAGCTTCTCTCGTATTTTCACACCTGGTCGGGTGGAGGAGGGGGGGCTTGCGGTGGAGATGCCCGTGTGCTGACACGCAGCGGGGTTATGCGCCCTCGCACTTTCCCAGTAGAAGCTGGGGGGCCGCGGTGAGAGCTGGATTTGACCCTGAGCCCCAGCTCTGCCCCCGCCGGCCTCATGTTCTCCCTGGAACCTCACGCGGAGGGGCTGAGAACTGAAGGTCAGAGGGGAGAGCCGTCAGGCCTGTGCCCGTCGCTGACACTCACTCTCGGTTGAACCGCCCTCCGGGCCTCACGGGGGTGGCCTCCCCAGGCTGGGCGCCTCCCTCAGTGACCGCTTCGTTGTCTGTTCCCTCCTAGACTGCCTGTTCCGGCTCTGCCCCATGAACCGCTACTCGGCGCAGAAGCAGTTCTGGAAGGCGGCCAAGCCGGGCGCCAACAGCACCACGGACGCCGTGCTGCTCAACAAGCTGCACGTAGGTACCCGCGGCGGGCGGGGCGGGCAGGGCGGGCGGGCGGGACCGTGTGCAGCTGCTCAGGCGGCCCGTGCTCTTTGGTGAAGGGGTAGGGGCTGACCCTGAGGTCAGCTGGGTCCTGGTCGCCAGCATCGTGTGTTCCAGGCGTGGCGAGGACACCAGGCTGCCCCTCAGGGACCCATCAGGGTGGGCCACGCAGTCGCCCCACTGCACCTCACTGCAGTCCTGGCATCGCGCCTGCGGGTCCCTGCCGTTCCCTCAGGGCCTCTGAGGGACTTCCTGTGCCCGGGTCTCCCTGTGCCTGGGGCCTCCCTGTGCCCGGGTCTCCCTGTGCCCGGGGCCTCCCTGTGCCCGGGACTCCCTGTGCCGGGGTCTCCCTGTGCCTGTAACTCCCTGTGCCCGGGACCTCCCTGTGCCCGGGACTCCCTGTGCCGGGGCCTCCCTGTGCCCGGGACTCCCTGTGCTGGGGCCTCCCTGTGCCGGGGTCTCCCTGTGCCTGTAACTCCCTGTGCCCGGGGCCTCCCTGTGCCCGTAACTCCCTGTGCCCGGGGCCTCCCTGTGCCCGGGGCCTCACTGCCCAGCCGCACGGGCCCCTGCGCTCCGTGTCAGGCTCTGAGCACCACAGGCCCAGCAAACCCTGGTCTTTGCGCTTCGTCTTTCCTGCCTGGAAAGTGCTTTGGGCTCTTCCTGGGCTGAGCCCGGAGCCGCCTTCACCTTCGAGGCTCAGTTCAGGTCTCACCTGCGCGGACTCTCCTGCCTCCCGCTCGGGGCTGCGCTGTGGGCCTCCTGCACCGCCGCGCCCTGCTTCTCCGTCTCCATCTTTACAAGTGCTGGCGACGCACCCGCTGAGAGTTAAGACACACTCCCCCAGCACAGCGCACAGCGCGGCTCCGGCGGGGCTGCTTCCCGCCATGTGCCCGTGACCTGTGACATCTCGTCGGCGGCTCCTCCCTGGCTCCTTCCCTCGAGTGACCTGGGAAAACTGCCCAGCCGCTAGAAGGCAATCCCAGAGGTGACCAGGAACTCTGAACTCCTTATTTCAAAAAAAAAGCCAGCTTTCTTCTTTACGCGGTTTGTGCGTTAAAAGAGGTTTAGGAGGAAACAGACTCAGGGTTACTGATGCGACTTGGGGCCCTGGGGTCCCTGCTTTCCTGCTCATTGGGACTTTCCTCCGGCGTCTGCCTCCGTGCGGTCCCTCCAGTGTGGTGTTTGCCGCAGCCGCTCGCCGTTGGGCGGAAGGCCGGTCTCCAGGGGGCTTTCGTGTTTATTTTGGTCAACGGCTGTGCAGGACCCCAGTCAGAGGTCAGATTGTTTTAAATGAACGCCATTTAAGGACTTCGCTGTCTAGACCCCTTGACTTCCTTCCCACTGGGGCATGGGGCTGCCAACAGCCGTCGAAGGAGAATGACCTCTAGTGGCCGGACCGTCCGCTCCGAGCTCAGTGTCATGTTACACAGCCCAGGGCCGGTTGACCTTGAAGAAGGTCCCGGCACAGAGACCTTTCTGGAGTCACTGAATACCGGTTCCTCTGCTTCTGAAGTAGAACAACAGGTGACTGACGGAGTTGACCTTGACGTTGCTCAGGGAACACGGTGACGTCCGTGGTGACTTGAGATCGCAGTGTAGAGTGCGGTGTCTTTCTCAGAAACTCAAAACAGCCCTCAGCCCGTCGGAGGAGGGGCAAGACCAACACACCCACCTGTGTGTGATTAAAATAAATGTTTTTATTGATTTGAGAGAGAGAGAGGAAGGGAGAGGGGGAGAGAGATAGAAACATAGATGAGAGAGAAACAAGCTTGGCTGCCTCCTGCACGCCCCCTACTGGGGATTGGCCCCGAAACCCGGGCATGTGCCCTGAGAATCGAACCATGACCTCTGGTTCATAGGTTGATGCCCAATCACTGAGCCACGCCAGCCGGGCAACATGCCTGTGATTTTAATTAGCCAAGCCCCAGGTTGGAGGGCAGAACTCAGGATCCTGATAGTTTGGGCCATTCAGGAAAAGAAAAAAAAAAAGGATGTTATAGCCTCGGCCACCTGCCCGGTCATCTTAGGAGAAATTCCTGGGAATGGAATGGCTCCGTCCAAGTTGGGCCCATTGAAACAGTTGGTGATGGACATGGCCAGTTATCCTTCCGAGGGAGAGCACCGGGTGTGGCCCCTCCTTAGAAACCTCACGTGGGATTCGCTGAGCCAGATCCGGTCCTTTCCACGGGGGGCAGCGCCTCGATCCGTGGGCCCAGGTATGGTTCGTACCGTATTTCCTTTGGATCTACCTTTTGCCTCACGTGTTGGACCTAAAAGTCCGGTGGATGTTTTTGTCTGAAAGCCCAGTTTGACAGCGCTGTTTACCCATTGGGCCTCCTAAAACGGGGGGTGGGGGGGTGGAGGGGGAGAAGACGTGAATTTGGTTTTGTGGAGGGAGTTTTCTAAGCATTGATGTGTGAGCTCAGATGAACACATACAGTATTTGTGTAAAGGCGAAATGAATTTGGGAGTTTTCTCCTGAAACAGAGCTGGTTGGCAAAGTGAGTTCTTAGAATGTCTGTGAGTTCAGGCGGCGGTGGCTGTGTGGAGGCTTGGGCGTCGGTAAACCTTTCGGCAGTTTCCGCTGTGACCGCTGCTGTTTGAAGAGAACTTGGTAGCTATTCACCCTCCCATCTGCTGTACTATCTGGTCTGATTCCACCTCTGGTTTGTCTTTGCACAGACACCCTCCGACGTTGTTGCTGTGCCCAATTCGTCTTTTAACACAGAAAGTATGGCAGCTTCAGGACTCACTGGCATTTGTTCCAGCCGTGCCAGGGACTGTTGAGTTGGCGCTTTAATACGTAGTCGAAACGTGGGTGGGAACTTCACATTTTAGATGAGTGGTTCTTGAACAGGCCACTGGCAATTCCTGAGAGGCAGCGGGAGCCGTGAGAATCTCCCCTCCTCGGGCCCTTCTCCCATTTACGCCCACGAAACAGCACCTTACGGTTCTCTGGAGGCGAGTCCTTTCAGGGTGATGTTTGCAGCAGAGAAAGACGGTATCATTTGTTGGACATTTTAAAATATATATATATTTTTTATTGGTTTCAGAGAGGAAAGGAGAGGGGGAGAGAGAGACACTTCAGTGATGAAAGAGAATCATTAATCGGCTGCCTCCTGCACACCCCCTACTGGGGGTTGAGCCCGCAACCTGGGCCTATGCCCTGAATCGAACCGTGACCTCCTGGTTCCTAGGTCTGAGCTCAACCACTGAGCCACGCCGGCCGGGCTGCACATACTTTCATTTTACCGAATCTGTTTGTTTTTTCCCTTTTGGCTTTTCCCCTTGAATTTCCCGTTTCTATGAGCTGAGATCTGCTTAGCAGAGGAACCAGTGACTTTCTACAAAGTCTAAGCTCTCCTCCCAGTGGATTCAGTCCCGGCTTCTGTTTGGAGAGCCACCTGACTGTGCAGAGGACACTTTGGGCACCAGGGAGTGCCGTGTCCGCACTGGGTCATTCCTGGATGAGCCTCGGGCCCCGCGGGTCTGTCCTGTAACGGGAACAGCAGGCTGGCTGCTCATCCCCGAGACAGAGGGAGGCCTCTGACCAGCCCGTGTGCATGTGCGTTGAGCCCTCGCCTCCTGCGGGCGGTTCTCAGTGGGTCGGATGCTTCTCGCAGCTGATCCTCCTCAAAGGACCTGCCTCCCCACAAACACCTGCATCGGGTGCAGGCGGGGCAGATGCTGAGTCGGAAGCGGCTGAAAGGCTCCTCACCAGCCACTCCGTCCCCTCCTGAGTCCCCTCGTTGAGCAGCTCTGAGCGTTAGGGACGCGGGTGTAGTAAAGGGCTGACACGTGTTGAACGCCGACTGTGTGTCTGCAGTGCTTTTTCTCGAACCTTCCAACAGCCCTGAGCGGCTGCAGCGCCCCCATTTCGTGGAGGAGAACACCGGGGGAGGCCTGGGGAGGTCACGGGACCTGGCCGAGGTGAGAGGTGGTCTGTGGGGCGCCAGGAGCCAGTGCGGAGGGGCCTGGAAACGCACCTGGTGCGTCTCACTCCGAGGACGGGGGCCCTGAGGAGGAGCCGCCGGGACCTCCCCAAAGTGCAGGAGTGGGCGCCAGGGTTCCCCTCCGTCGGATCCGCTGCGAATCCCGTCTCTGTGGTTTTACCCGTTTCGGTTTGGGAGATGGATCGGAATGGCGGTCCCTCGTTGCCTGGGAGGGACCCAGGTCCCGGGAGCACGGTTCTGAAATGCTAGCAGGACGGAGCGTCGAACAGGTAAAGGCAGGATAGATGGCTGTTCAGGTTGGTGGCCCTGGGAGACTGTTCTGGAAGCTCCGTTCAACTTTACCGATTTCCCTAACCTGCGGAATTTGTGCTGGTCATCTCTCTCCCCGCCTCGCGTGTGGCGGGATAAATCTGGATTAACCCAGATGTGCCTTGGGGATTATTTCTCCTACTTAATAGACGTGTGACTTTAAAAAAGGAGCCTCTTAAGCAAAATTTCAAATAGACACAAAAGTAGAGAAAACAGTAGAACAAATCCCTTTTAATACCCATCATCCAACTGCCTGTGCCACGTCGGCCACATGTTTTCATCTCTCCAGTCTGTTCCTTCTTTTTTAAAATTGGGACACGGATCTTCCCCTCGAGGGAGTGCCGTGAAGACGAAGTACATGATCATCGGTGCCCAGTGATAATAACTAGCGCTCATGAACCCTGCAGGGAGGCACTGACTCCTGCGGGCGTAGCTTCTGTTTTACCCTCATTTTACGAAAGGGGAAACGGAGGCTCCCACCTGCTCAGTAACACAGTCCAGGTCACAGAACCAGAGCCAGCATTTAGACGCAGGTTTATTTCAGCCCAGGGCTTTCAAAGAGGGCTTTTACACACCCAAAAAGGGTTTTGCAAGTTCCCTCGCCCCCCTCCCCTACTTCCTTTAAAGGTACATAAGCTCAAGAAAATAAAAATGCATCAGCCTATGACCTGAGCTGAGCCTAAGCTGACAGGCCCATGAACCCCTTAAAGAGAAAGATGCACTTTTGAAAAGCCACAAAGGCCAAGGGAGCAACGGCCAAGCAGGTTCCCGGGCCTTGCCAGTGGCAGAGCGGGTTCCCGGGCCTTGCCCGTGGCTGAGCGGGTTCCCGGGCCTTGCCCGTGGCAGAGCGGGTTCCTGGGCCTTGCCTGCGGCTGAGCGGGTTCCCGGGCCTTGCCCGTGGCAGAGCGGGTTCTCGGGCCTTGCCCGCGGCTCAGCCGAAGGGGAGCGGGTGGTTGCCCGTGTCTGTGGTTCTCGGGCCTTGCCTGCGGCTCAGCCGCAGGGGAGCGGGGAGTTGCCCGTGTCTGTGGTTCCCAGGCGGACCGGACGCCGGCCCTGTGTCCCAGCGGAGAAACGGCCCGGGCCGCCTCTGTGACCCGTCTTCCTTCTCCCCCACAGCACGCGGCCGACCTGGAGAAGAAGCAGAACGAGACGGAGAACAGGAAGCTGCTGGGGACCGTCATCCAGTACGGCAACGTGATCCAGGTGGGTCTGCCGCCCTCCCCGGGCTGGTGGGCACCGCGGTGCCTGCGCAGGCCTAGGCGCCCGGGGCTGGACTTGACGTTGCAGGGGGTCCTGGCCCCGGAGGCTGCGGCCGCAGGTGTGGCCCTCTGCCTGAGCACCGCCAACCTTGCCCCAGGCTCTGCTGGGAACAGCGCAGTATTTCTCTGGCTCTACTTGTGCTCCTCTGCTCTTGCTGTTTCCCCTAAGCCAGCGGTTCTCAACCTGTGGGTCGCGACCCCTTTGGCAGTCGAACGACCCTTTCACAGGGGTCGCCTAAGACCATCCTGCATATCAGATATTTACATGACGATTCATAACAGTAGCAACATTACAGTTATGAAGTAGCAACGAAAATAATTTTATGGTTGGGTCACAACATGAACTGTATTTAAAGGGCCAGAAGGTTGAGAACCACGGCCCTAAGCGTTCCCGCCGCGGGCACTTCTGCGGCTCCCGACCTCACAGTGAGCCGGGGGGAGGGTGTTGGAGCCACATCGTATGTGCTGGGAGGAACGGCAGAGTCAGAGGCTCGCCGACACCCACCTTCTTCCCGGCGGGTTTCAGCTCCTGCATCTGAAAAGTAACAAGTACCTGACTGTGAACAAGAGGCTGCCGGCCCTGCTGGAGAAGAACGCCATGCGAGTGACGCTGGACGAGGCGGGGAACGAGGGCTCCTGGTTCTACATCCAGCCCTTCTACAAGCTGCGGTCCATCGGGGACAGTGTAAGTGCACGTCCCAGCCCGGGGCTGCGGTCCCTCCATCGGGGACAGTGTGAGTGTGTGTCCCAGCCCGGGGCTGTGGTCCCTCCATCGGGGACAGTGTGAGTGTGTGTCCCAGCCCGGGGCTGTGGTCCCTCCATCGGGGACAGTGTGAGTGTGTGTCCCAGCCCGGGGCTGCGGTCCATCGGGGACAGTGTGAGTGTGTGTCCCAGCCCGGGGCTGTGGTCCCTCCATCGGGGACAGTGTGAGTGTGCGTCCCAGCCCGGGGCTGCGGTCCATCCATCGGGGACAGTGTGAGTGTGTGTCCCAGCCCGGGGCTGTGGTCCCTCCATCGGGGACAGTGTGAGTGTGTGTCCCAGCCCGGGGCTGCGGTCCATCCATCGGGGACAGTGTGAGTGTGTGTCCCAGCCCGGGGCTGCGGTCCATCCATCGGGGACAGTGTGAGTGTGTGTCCCAGCCCGGGGCTGCGGTCCCTCCATCGGGGACAGTGTGAGTGTGTGTCCCAGCCCGGGGCTGCGGTCCATCCATCGGGGACAGTGTGAGTGCGTGTCCCAGCCCGGGGCTGCGGTCCCTCCATCGGGGACAGTGTGAGTGTGTGTCCCAGCCCGGGGCTGTGGTCCCTCCATCGGGGACAGTGTGAGTGTGTGTCCCAGCCCGGGGCTGCGGTCCCTCCATCGGGGACAGTGTGAGTGTGTGTCCCAGCCCGGGGCTGCGGTCCCTCCATCGGGGACAGTGTGAGTGTGTGTCCCAGCCCGGGGCTGCGGTCCATCGGGGACAGTGTGAGTGTGTGTCCCAGCCCGGGGCTGCGGTCCCTCCATCGGGGACAGTGTGAGTGTGCGTCCCAGCCCGGGGCTGCGGTCCATCGGGGACAGTGTGAGTGTGTGTCCCAGCCCGGGGCTGCGGTCCATCCATCGGGGACAGTGTGAGTGTGTGTCCCAGCCCGGGGCTGCGGTCCATCCATCGGGGACAGTGTGAGTGTGTGTCCCAGCCCGGGGCTGCGGTCCATCCATCAGGGACAGCGTGAGTGTGTGTCCCATTCTTGTCGAAATGCTCAGCTGGCCTTAACCTAAAACTGGACTTGGCCATTTCTCAGTATTGCCATTTATGTTTACAAGTTGTGGGCAGTTGAATCTGTGGCAGTTTTTATGTTTGAGTGTGTGTGTGTGTGTGTTATATACAGTATGACAGATGCCTTCACACCAGCCGGCCCCTCCCAGTTGCTGCAATAAACACTGACCCTCAGCTCGGAACAGAAGAAGCCCCTCAGAGCTGTGGTTCCACCGGAGTGGTGGGTTTTGGGGGTCTTCACTTGGTTTGGAAATGTGGTTGTGATGCTCCCCAGTGTATCAGATGAAAACAGATGAGCTTTACACCCTAAGAAACCATCATGTCCAAGCACCTTCCCCTCCGGTCATGAAAGACAAGGCGCTTGGCTCTGAATTCATTCTCGGCGAGGCTGTAGCCTCCCTGTCCCTTAGGCCCACCTGCTGAGCGGTGCCTCCGTGGGGAAGGCCGGAGGGCGGGAACCGCTGTCCTTGCAGGATCCCGTGCTTCCATTCCTGGGCCATGAGACCATTTAGTGGCTCGCGGCTATGGTTTTAGAAAGTGGAATAGATGGAAAGGCCCGGGCTGTGTCACTGTGATGAGGATACACACTGAGGTGGGGGCACCTCTTGTCCCAGGGAAGTGTGGGTGTCTGTGTGGACATCAGTGCACACGGACACACACGCAACACGCACATAAGTACACACGCCTGGGTCTTCACGGGAAACGTGCTTCTCCGTGTGGCTCGCCCTCAGAAGAGCACGAGCATCACAGCTCTTGATGTAGATGACGGCTCTGTTCTCTCAGACCAGACCGCCTTCCGCTGCTGTCCCCCTAGAACTCGGCGCGCCCACACGAATATCTGCTGCCGTGGGAAAGGAGTGTTGGCGCTCGGCGGGGGCGTCTGTGCTGGTCTCGCCATTGGTCGGGGACCGGGCAGGGGCTGGGGAGCTCAGAGCCCGGCCTGCCCTGCGAACGGTTCGGCTGTGCCGGCCGGGACGTGCCACCTCCGGGCGGGCTGAGGACACCCCCGCCCTCCCCCCCGGCACTCCCGACGGTTTTGTGAAAAGCTGTCCCCATGCTTCCTTTCCCAGGTGGTCATAGGCGACAAGGTTGTGCTGAACCCGGTCAACGCGGGCCAGCCCCTGCACGCCAGCAGCCACCAGCTGGTCGATAACCCCGGCTGCAACGAGGTGAGGAGGGAAACGAGGTGCGGCCTGCGGGGGGGCGGGGGGGGCGCTGCGGGAGCAGCCCGGGGCCACGGCGTGTCTGTGCTGACAGCCGTGACGTGGGGCACGTGTGGAACCAAGGCCCCGGTCAGGGCCGCCCCGGAGGCTGTGCCGGGCTGCGCAGTGGGTGGGGGTGGGGCTGACCGTCACCCCTGGGCACAGCGAACGGAGCCTGTGTCACTGGGGACCGGTTCCCGTGGGTTAAGCCAGAGACGGGACCCCTGTCTGAATTTGCTGGCCGAAGGGCACCGTTTTCTAGTTTGTCTTCTTAAGAGAGCGCCCTTTGCTAATTGCTCAGAGGGACACGCTGCGCCCCAGCAGCCCCGCGGGGCGGTGCTTGCTTCTGGCTGTGCATCTCCCTTGCCTCTGAGCGGGCAGTCACGGGACCCCGGACAGGGACAGCGGTGACATAAATAGCTGTCTAGTGGTTGAGGACATAGCTCTCGAGTCATATAGATGAGGGTTCGAATCCCAAGTCTGCCCCCAGACTCTGTGGCTGCGGGTCCGTCACCCAGACTCCCGGGCATCAGTGTTCCTGTCTCTGAAATGGGCGCGATGGGCGCTCCTGTGTGGAGGGCATGGCTGGGGCCTGGAGGTTCTCGAGGGTGTCCCTGTGCCCTCAGACGCTTGTGTGTCGCTGGCATTTCAGTGCAGACACTGACGCTGTCTTACCGTGCAGTCCGTCCCCTTTGTGAGCGCGTGTTTTCCGGGCCTTTCCTCTCTGGCGGCAGAAGAGCCCTGGAGAAAGGAGGGTCTGTGGTTCCAGGGGAGCAGGAGCCTGGCGCCCGCGGTCCCGTGGAGCAGACACCCTGATTGGTTCACAGGGCCCTTCACTGCCCGACGCTCCTACCGCGCGGCCTGTGACCTTAGGGCAGGGGTCCTCAAACTACGGCCCGCGGGCCACATGCAAATACAAATATTGTATTTGTTCCTGTTTTGTTTTTTTACTTCAAAATAAGATATGTGCAGTGTGCATAGGAATTTGTTCATAGTTGTTTTTTAAACTATAGTCCGTCCTTCCAACGGTCTGAGGGACAGTGAACTGGCCCCCTGTTTAAAAAGTTTGAAGACCCCTGCCTTAGGGTGTTGGCCCTCGGGGTCTGGGGCTGAGAGGGTGTGAGCAGGGAACTGCTTCTCCTCCAGGTCAATTCCGTCAACTGCAACACCAGCTGGAAGGTCGTGCTGTTCATGAAGTGGAGCGACAACAAGGAGGACATACTCAAGGGGGTGAGCCTGAGGGCACACTGAGGGGGGGGGCACACATGGAGGTGGGGGGGGAGTGAGGACACGCCGAGGGGGAGGTGAGTCTGGGCCGCCTGGGCGCAGCTGTTCTGAAGGTCATGCCCCCTCCCCGTGTGCGTGGCCTGCAGGGCGACGTGGTGCGGCTGTTCCACGCCGAGCAGGAGAAGTTCCTCACCTGCGACGAGCACCGGAAGCAGCAGCACGTCTTCCTGCGGACGACCGGCCGGCAGTCGGCCACGTCGGCCACCAGCTCCAAGGCCCTGTGGGAGGTGGAGGTAAGGGGGGCGGGCGGACGTGGGGCTGGTACGGCTCGTCCCAGAGCTTCTGGTGGGCGGCCAGGTGTGTCCCAGCCTCTGCTTAGGGCCAGGTGTGTCCCAGCCTCTGCTTAGGGCCAGGTGTGTCCCAGCCTCTGCTTAGGGCCAGGTGTGTCCCAGCCTCTGCTTAGGGCCAGGTCAGACCCACACAAAGGTGGGCCCTGTGCCGTCCGCACTGAGCGCCCAGGCGTGGGACTCCATCGCTCCTCTGGCCTCGCGGCATCCGAGCAGCTCCCAGCGCCGAGGGGCCCTGGGCATGTGGCACTCGGAGTTCCCCTGTCGTCCTTGGCCTTGTGGGGCCTCGCCTTACACAGACGCAGCTTGGCATCCAGCCAACGACTCAAGGAGGCTTTGGAGATTTCTGGAGCTTTTTGTCCTGGTGGCTCTGTATCCTGCCTCCCCCCCCCCCCCCGCCGAATCCCAGCCGCCTCCATCTCCCTAATTCTACTCTACCTCCTCCACTCAGTGGGCCCGCGCCCTCCTGGGTCTCCATCCCAGAGGCCGCTCGGGAGGGAGCGGACATGCGGAGTCCTCCTTCCCTTCCTCGGAGGCACAGCTCTGCAGCCCGTGTCCAGCAGGGGCCCGTCCGCTCACGCCTTTCCTCCTGGTGTCTAGTTGTCCCTGGCGAGGCCAGAGGTTTTGTGCAGCGTCTTATTGTTTATGGCACCGACTGCCCGTGCCAGGGTCCCATCGTGACCAGAAGCTGAAGTTCTGTTCACTTATGTTTTTATTATTTTTTTAATCCTCACCAGAGGCTATTTTCCCATTGATTCTTAGAGAGAGTAGAAAGGAGGGAGCAGAGAGGAGAGAGAGAGAAAGAAACATCAACGAGAGAGAGAGAGAGAGAGAGAGAGAGAGAGAGACAGACACACGCATTGATTAGTTGCCTCCCGAATGCACCCAAACCAGGGCCGGGGATCGAACCTGCAACCCGAGACCCTTCGGCGAGGGGGCTGATGCTCCAGTCACTGAGCAACACGGGCCAGGGTTGAAGTTCCGTTCGTTTTTAAGGCCAGCTGGCCCGGCTCTGAGCACAGGCCCAGGTGGTGTGGTGTTTCTGCACGGGGTTCCGTGGATCGACTGCTTTCCCTGCCCTCACGAAATCCCCTTACATTGCCCGTGCCCCCTGTGGGTGAGTTTCAGCATCTTAGCTTATCCTTCATGACGATGAAGCAAACCCTCAAAACCACTGATCTCTTCGCTGCAGCCGCTCCCTTGGCCGGTAGACGTGGGGTCCCGGGAGATGTACTGCTAGCGTTTCCGTGTGTCTGTCTGGGTGTGTCAGCTGGTCCATGTCTCGGCTGGACTGTGATTTGTGTGCGATGTCCTGGCGTGGCTGACACCTCTCGCACCCTGACCACCTCCCCCTCTCCCAGGTGGTCCAGCACGACCCGTGTCGGGGAGGCGCCGGGTACTGGAACAGCCTCTTCCGGTTCAAGCACCTGGCCACCGGGCACTACCTGGCCGCAGAGGTGAGTGGCAGCGGGCTTCCTCCTTCCAGGCGGACGCCGCCCCCGTCCGCCCCACCCGGGCACTGGGCCGCCGAGGGCTTAGGTCCTGCAGACACCTCGCTCCTCGTCCTGCTTCTGTTTCCTCTGCCTCCTTCCCCTGCGTACAGACAAGAAAAGGTAACGAAGGGCGGTTACACGCCGAGGACTTCACACCGATTTCCACCGAGATGTGGGGAGAACGTTAGCCAGAAGGCAGTGCCGTCCTGGGGATGTGAGGGACAGCGTGGTGACTGCAGTGGTCATGCTGCGCTGAATATTTGACAGCTGCTACGAGAGTAGATTTAAAAAACAAAAACAAAAAAGGCACGGTAGTCTGGGTGTAGGACTGTTGTTCCGTTTTGCTCATTCACGCCGCTCTCCCCACATCTCCCCCTTCCGCACACTGTCCTGACGCCCGGCACGGGAAGCCGGCAGCAGTGAGGCACGGTTAGCTCCGTGAGCACCTGGTTCTCAGAGCATTCGTGGCGTGGGCAGGACCTCATCTTCTGCTCTTGAGAAGCCAACATCGGGGACATGGCTGGGAAGGGTGTTGGAAGAAAGTCAGGACTCAATGTCCAAGGGCAAGAGTTTACCTCTTAATTTCTGTGCCAAGGGGCCTGCCATCCTCCCGGGTGACAGATGTCGAGTTTCACTCTGATCTGCCGCAACCTGTAGGATGCATGTTGGCATCAGGGCCCAGGCGGACATCAGACGACACCTCGCTGCCCGGGCCAGCGGAGGGGCTGCTCAGAGATTGTCAGGGAGCCTGGCCCACAGCTGACCGGGGAAGCCCGAATCTCACGCACCCCAGCCCCCTGGGAGCCCGACACGCGTACGAACTGGTGGCTTTGAAATATGTGAGCGCTGAGGACCAGACTAAATTAACATGGAGCCTCGGGCGGGTCCCCGGCTCGGCCGAGACCGCGGGGCTCGCCAGGTTCTGAGGCGCGTGTGCCTCCTGAGGCCACAGACGTCTTAGTTCTCAGTACAGTGAGCAGGCTGGTCTGTGACCGGACCAGCTGGTCTGCCGGTGTCTCGGGCTTCTCACGGCTGTTCTGCTAGCGAGTTCGCGCTCTGCTGTCCGTGCCCGAGTGCCGGCCGTCGGTGGCGGGAGGTTGTCCGTGCGTGTCGTGCACCTGTGGCGTGGCGTGCACCTGTGGCCTGGTGTGCTCCTGTGACGTGTGTCGTTGTGGCATGCTGGTTTCGTGAACAGAGGGAAGGGACGCGTCCTCAGCTGCTGAGCGACGCCCGCAGGCCTTGGCGTCTCCCACGAGTGGGGGCCGAGCCCGTGAGAAATCGGCGGGTGTTTTAATTTCCCGATGATTCTTTCCCATCAGGTAGACCCTGACTTTGAGGAAGAATGCCTGGAGTTTCAGCCCCCAGTAAGTATGGGCCAGCGCCTCTCTCCTCGCCTGGTAGGGCGAGGCCACGTGTCCTGCCCCCATTGAAGGAACTGCCATTGTGCCGGGTGCTGGGGACACGGGGACGCCTCTGGCCGCCTCCGAGGAGGGTCTTGTCTGTGCTTCCCTTGAGGGCAGTCATGCCTCCTGCGTCCTGATTGGTTCACGAGACTGTCCGTCATGATGCTCCTCGCGTGCTTACTCAGAGGGTCTCCACTGTGAGTCGGGGAGTTTCCGATGGCTCTGGGAAGACTCCTAGGCTGCAGAGGTGACGGCCCCTGTAGACGGCGGCCTTTTACAAACAAACGTCCTGGTGCTGTTGACCTTGACCTGTCACTCATCCAGAATTTCCAAGGAGTGCGTGTGCGGGGCGGGCGGTGTCACTTATTCTGTGGAGTTAAAGCCGCCGTCTGCGCAGACCCCCTTGTCTGGCCACGGGTTCTCGCTTCTGCAGAGTCAGGAGTGGACTTTAGGACGTGGGCAGGAATCGTGACGCCGGCTGGACCTTGCTCTGGAGGCGGTTTTGCCCGTCAGTCCCGACGCGCATTCCCGGTCTTTGTGCTGCCGTCGAGGGGACAGCGTGCGGTCCCCGGAGGTCACTGGGTGTCGTGCAGCGAGGTCTGATGTGCAGGTGGACCTGGAGTCTGTGACGGAAAGCAGGGTGGTGACAGAGCATTCAGATAGCGGGCCCAGCGCTCAGACGCTGTGTGACTCGGGACCCCGGCTTTCCCTCTCTGAGCCTTCACTCCCTTGTCCGCAGCTGTGCGAGGGCACTTGCCGTAAGGACCAGGCGCGGGCTGTGCGGATGGAGGGCCTTAGGGAGCCCTCAGGAAATGGCCGCTTCATAAGTTACAGGATCGTTCGCATCTCAGCGCGCCTGTCCTCCAGTCCCGCTGGGAGCTGGCACGTGTGGAAGTGTTAGGGCCGCCCTCTCGGTGGCATGTGGCCGATGAGGACGCAGATAGCGGTCCTGGCTCGTCCGCGTCTTGGGTCCTCCCAGAGTGCGGGCCTCTCCCCTCTGTCTTGCTCCCCAGGTGGCGGTGGGCCGGGTGCAGGCCTGGGACACGGCTCCCGGGGCTCTGGCGTGGGGCTCGCTCTGCACGTTGGCGTTGGCAGGCTCGGCAGCCTTCCCGCTCTCCGGGCAGGGAAACAGGTGGTCACGTGGGGATGGGAAGCCTCGCGTCCTGCTCCCGTGTTTCCTCACTCTGGCCTCAGGCCTGTGCTTCTGCCTGGGACCGCCCTCTGCTTTGTCACTTGCTCTCAACCTTCTACACTCGGGGCACAGACTCGATGCCAGGGGAGAAAAAGGACCTCCCGAGGCTGGCCTGCCTCTGAGGGCCTTCTGCAGTGTGCCTGTCCTCCCACTAGGGGGCGACCGCCGACCACACACGGAGAATGAGGCTGCCCCAGCCCGTTCCCAGACACAGGGACTGACAGCCTTGCGTTTTCCTGGGACTCCAGCCGGTCTCTGAAGGCCCTGTGGCCTGTAGTGCGCCCGTGTCTTACACCAGAATCGGGTGGGACTTACCCGGAAAGTGGCGCCGCGGCCGATCCACAGTCCTTTCTCCTGAAGGGAGCCTGGCTTGGGGAGGGGCCGGTCTCCCTCTCCCGTGCCGCTCAGGCTCCTGCAGGTGGAATCACGAGTCCTGGGTTTGTTCTCGATTCCCACGCGGCGTTAGAGACTTGAGAGAAGCAGGACCCAGCGGTCTGGGGGACAAAAGCAGCATTTTTCTCTTTTTTGCAAACAGGAGTGGGGGCTGCAGATGGGCCGAGAAAGCGGACAGTGGCCCGCAGTCCCCGCATCAGGCCCAGGGGGCTGTCTCCCAGGCGCTCTCCTCTGCCCTCATCCCCCCTTCCTCCCTCCCCCCCTCGGAGAGGAGCAGGCGTCTGCCTGAGCCAAGCCAGTTAGGGACAGAAATGCTCCCAGTCGATGCAGGCGCACGTGGGCATCCTGCGAGGGCGACATAACCGTTACAAACAGGCCCACACAGCTCACGGCACAGAGACCGACCTCGCGCAGCCTCTCGCCGGAGGCGCTGGGCAGGGCACCTTCTGAGGCAGGTGGCTCTGTTGGCCCTAGCTCCCTCGGGGAA